TCACCATGTTGACCAAGATGGTCTCAATCTCTTGACCACGTGATCCACCTGCCTCGGCTCCCAAAGTGCTGGGATTACAGTCGTGAGCCACTGTGTCCGGCCACAACTGGTTCTTAAATCCAGGGAGATGCTCAGGTCACGTGTAATAAGAGATACGCAAATTTAAACTGAGGTATCAATTTATGTTTATCAGATTGACAAAAACTCAAATGTGTGATAAAAGAGTATTTTGGCAAGACTAGGAAAACAGGCATGCTAATAGATTATGTAAATATAAATTGATAAAATACTTCTGGAAGGCAATTTGTTAATATGAGTCAAAATAATAACTGTTCCTTAGGAGCCAGGAGCAGTGTCTCCTGCCTGTAATACCAGCACTTTGGGAGGCCGAAGGGGGTGAATCGCTTGAGCCCAGGAGCGTGAGACCAGCCTGGGCAATGTGACCAAACCCTATCTCTACAAAAAATACAAAAAATGCCTGGGTGCCATGGCTCACGCCTGTAATCCCAACACTTTGGGAGGCCAAGGCAGGTTGGGAGTTCGAGACCAGCCTGACCAACATGAAGAAACCCCAACTCTACTAAAAATACAAAATTAGCCGGGCTTGGTGGTTCATGTGTGTAATCCCAGCTACTCGGGAGGCTGAGGTAGGAGAATTGCTTGAACCTAGGACATGGAGGTTGCAGTGAGCGGAGATCAGGCCATTGCACTCCAGCCTGGGCAACAAGAGTTAAACTCTCAAAAAAAAAAAAAAAAAATTAGGCAATGTGGGACAGACCTGTAGTCACAGCTACTCAGGAGGCCTAGGTGAGAAGATCACCTGAGTCGAGGAGGTTGAGGCTGCAGTTAGCCATGATCCAACCACTGCACTCCAGCCTGGGCGACAGAGCAAGACCTTGTCTCAAACGAACAAAAACTGTTCCAAGTCTCTGCAAAAATCTAAAAGAACAAAGACAAACCAAAACGAATATACACATTGACCCAACATTTACATTTCTGGTGATTTATCCTACAAATAAACTTGCAGACATGTGAAATGATATGCATATTATTTATTAATTATATTATTTACATTAGCAAAAGACTGAAAGTAATTGAAGTGTCTATAATTTAAAACTGGCTAAACACAACAGTACAAGCATACAATAGAATATTACATGGCTACAAAAAAGAATGAGGAAGCACTCAGTGTACTCATGAAAGATCTCCAAGACACATTATGAAGTGAAAAAAATGTAGTATATTACCTTTTGTGTCAAAAAGAAGTGTAAGGCCAGGTGCAGTGGCTCATGCCTATAATCCTAGCACTTTGGGAGGCCAAGGCAGGTGCATTGCTTAAGCCCAGGAGTTTGAGACCAGGCTGGGCAACATGGGGAAACCCTGTCTCTACAAAAAGAAAAATTAGCTGGGCATGGTGGTGTGCACCTGTAGTCCCAGCTATTCAGGAGACTGAGGTGGGAGGATCACCTGAGCCTTGGGAGGTCAAGGCTATAGTGAGCTGTGATCCAGGCACTGCATTCCAGCTTGGGCAACAGAGTGATACTTTGTCTCAAAAAAAAAAAAAAAAAGGCAACATGGATATATAATTGCTTATGTTATCAAAAAAGAAGCTATGGAAGGGCACTCAATTAATAAAAAGTTGCTCCCTTGCAAACTTTAGCTTCCTTGCTGCTCTAACTTCCTTGCATAGGCAAATTCTAACTGTGGTTAAACACAATAAACCACTTACCCTATCCCTGTGGTCAAACAGCTGGAATAAAATTCACACCAGTGTGTCTGGTATCTTCTTAAATTTATGTCCAAAATGCCTAGTAGGCACAACACTGCTCACCAGTTCTAACTTACTTCTCTAGTGCGTATCTTTTTTTTTTATTTTTTATTTTTTGAGACAGAGTGTCACTCTATAACCCAGGTTGGAGTGTAGTGGTGTGATCTCTGCTCACTGTAACCTCCGTCTCCTGGGTTCAAGCAATTCTTGTGCCTTAGCCTCTTGAGTAGCTGGAATTACAGGTGTAAGTTACCATGCCCAGATAATTTTCACATTTTTAGTAGAGACGGGGTTTCACCATGGTCAGGCTGGTCTTGAACTCAAGTGATCCCTCTGGCCTGGCCTCCCAAAGTGCTGGGATTACAAGTGTGAGCCACTGTGCCCAGCCACTAGTGTGTACCTTTTCAGTCTCCACTTCTCCCTACTCTCTAGATTTCCGTTGTTTTGAGATGGAGTTTCGCTCTTATTGCCCAGGCTGGAGTGCAATGGCAAGATCTTGGCTCACTGCAACCTTGCCTCCCAGGTTCAAGCAAGTCTCCTGCCTCAGCCTCCCAAGTAGCTGGGATTACAGGTACCTGCCACCACCCCTGGTTAACTTTTTGTATTTTTAGTAGAAACAGGGTTTCACCATGTTAGTCAGGCTGGTCTCCAACTCCTGACCTCAGGTGATCTGCCCACCTCTGCCTCCCAAAGTGCTGGGATTACAAGTGTAAGCCACCACGACCAGCCTCCTCTCTAGATTTCCTAAAGTTTCTTTTTCCTTTGCACTCTCAGTTAATGAGTTTACCTCTGAAGAAATCAGAGAAATTGCCATTATCTTCTCACCAACGGATCTACGAGTTGTACCACATGCTTCTCTTGTTATGGTGGCTGGTTTTCTCTTTCTTTTAACTCTCAATTTGAGCTCAGGATACCATCTCTTCTCTCCTCTATTATTTCATACACAACTGTTCTCCCCCTACCCCCTTTTTGAGAGGGGGGTCTTGCTTTGTCACTCAGGCTGGAATGCAGTGGTATGATCTCAGCTCACTGCAGCCTCTGCCTCCCAGGCTCAAAGGATCCTCCCACTTCAACCTCCAGAGTAGCTGGGACCACAGGCACTGCTCTGCCTGACTAATTTTTTAATTTTTATTTTTTGTAAACACAGGGGTCTCTCTCTGTTGCCCAGGCTGGTCTAGGACTCCTGGGCTCAAGCGATACTCCTGCCTTGGCTTCCCAAAGCACTGGGATTATAGGCATGAGCCATTGCACCTGGCTTCTCTTTTCCACACATCATTAGTTTCTTCCTCTTTACTGGATCATTGCTATTAGCATACAGGCATTTCCATCTTTTTTTATTCTTTTTTTGGAGATAGAGTCTGGCTCTGTCACCAAGGGAGTAAAATGGCACGATCTCAGCTCACTGCAACCTCTGCTTCCCGGATTCAAGTGATCCTCCTGCCTCAGCCTCCTGAGTGGCTGGGATTACAGGTGCACACGGCCATGCCCAGCTAATTTTTGTATTTTTAGTAGAGGTGGGGTTTCACCATGTTAGTCAGGCTGGTCTCGAACTCCTGACCTCAGGTGATCCACCTGCCTTGGCCTCTCAAAGTGCTGGGATTATAGGTGCCCGCCACTGTGCCCAACCAAGACTTGACATTTCTTTGAGGGTAAAGAACAGAGTTTTGGCCGGGCGCGGTGGCTCACGCCTATAATCCCAGCACTTTGGGAGGCCGAGGCAGGTGGATCACGAGGTCAAGAGATTGAGACCATCCTGGTCAACAAGGTGGCGCGTGCCTGTAATCCCAGCTACTCGGGAGGGTGAGGCAGGAGAATTGCTTGAACCCAGAAGGTGGGGGTTGCGGTGAGCCAAGATCGTGCCATTGCACTCCAGTCTGGGTAACAACAGCGAAACTCCGTCTCAAAAAAAAAAAAGAACAGAGTTTTGTGTTTGGCAGGCACCAAAATACTTGTTTCAAGTTAGTGGTAGGATGTTTCTCCTTGGCTTCCATAGCGTCTTCTGTGCTACTCTTGGAAGTAGATTGTAAGTCATTTGAAGTCAGGGACTGTGGTTTGTATTTACTTGTATTCCCTTATGGCACCCAGTACGTGTTTAATAAACACTGCTTTACATTGGATGGAACCAGAAGCAGAACTTTGGAGGAAGAGATGGGAACAAAGGAATGAGGGCAAAGGTGAAAAAGGCAAAATGTCAAACAATACCATTCTTTTGGATAAAAATGTGGTCTTTTCACTTGCAATGAGGTAATGCTAAGGAAGTTTTTTCTACAGTCTGCATATGCTTAGTACAGTTAAAATTAAACCATCTTAAAATAGAAACTACAACTAATAAAGGTGTTGAGCATGAATTTCAATTAAAAATGATATAACAATATGAATATTAACAGAAAGTTTGAGTATCAACATTGTCTATAGAAAAAAGGTGGTTTGGTCAGCACCCAACTATTAGTCATGGTGAGAAAACAAATAGTTCTGAAATGTAGGGACCTGTTCACAGATCAGATATGTGTAAAGGACATATCCACAGACACCCAGAGATGTTTACAGAGCGTGTTCAGCTCAGTTTGTATCATCTGGGTGTGTTTTGTGTACATCTGTTTAACTTTCTGGTTGAGATAATGTAATTCTGCTTTTCCCAAGTTATGTTGTTGTGGCTTTGTTGTTGTTGTTGTTTGTTTGATTGAGACAGGGTCTGGCTCTGTCGCCCAGGCTGGAGGTCAGTGATGTAGGCTCACTGTAACCTCCGTCTCCGGGCTCAAGCCATCCTCCCACTTCAGCCTCCCGAGTAGCTGGGACTGTATTGCCCAGGTTCCCATTTTCCATTTGAGCTCCCTTTCCCTTGTTTTTTTCCCTTTCTTCCTCCCAGCGCAGTTCATTTCTCAAGACTGTGAACGCTGCGAGTGGGGTGGATAGAGGAACAATTGGGAGGTGGTGTCAAGGTAACATTCCACTTCTCTCCCGGTCTTCTCCCTCACCCTCCCATATTCACATGTGGTTTTCACTTGCCAAGGGGCAGGACCAAGGTTTCTGCAGTACCAAACTGCAGGTGCAGTGGCACTAAGCAACTTACATTCAAACAAATACGAAACCCAAACTAGCCCGTCTCTGTAAATCCCACAGCACGACTGCCTTCCCTACCTCCTCGTTAGAGGTACTTCACAGCCCTCCAGCTCCAACTGAGAGAACCCAGCCGGGCAGGAAGTCCCTACTTCAGGAACACCAAGAAGGTGGCCGTCAGCTGCTGAAGGTGAAGAATTCGTCTTCTGACGCGACAGTCTCCTGGGCCAATCAGAGGCAGCCCGTGTGGGGAAAGGCTCCAGTGCGCCCTGCTGGGGAGCAGCGGCGAGGTAGCACCTGGCAGAGGTGACTTGCTCTGAGGAGCGGCGGTTCCTTCCACCAATCGGAACGTGCAGAGTTGGGGAGCCGGCCAATCAGGCGCGGAGGGCGGGGCCGGGCGGGGCTCCACCTGGCGGCTGGCTCTTAGTCCCCGCGCTGCAGTCTGAGGAGCTGTGTCTGTTCCCCGGAGTCAGTCGGCGGCTGTTGTATCGTATCGGGATCCTGGTCGCGATGGGGACGAAGGCGCAAGCCGAGAGGAAACTGTTGCGCCTCTTCGTTTTGGAGATCCTGTTGTGTAAGTTCTCGGAGTTTCGGGAGGAATCGGCTGGTCGGGCCAGAGGTTGGAGGAAGGCGCTCCCCACGCCCCTGGCCCGCGGGAGAGGAGGAGCTCAGAAACCTGCTTACTTCGGTCTCCTAATTCTCTTTTCCACCCCTGCCTGGTCCCTCTTCTTTCACTCTCGCAGCCGGGTGAGTGGCTGGCTCCCCTCCCCCACACTAGTGAGTTGTGACCCCACCCCTCACGCCCACTGGGAGGGAGCTGACCCATCTGCACACACCAGAAGTACACTCCTCGTCCTCACGGCGAGAGCATTCGGGCCAAGGACCCTTCCAAACTCATCTACCCAGCGCGCGCTCCACACGCACCTGGGAAGGGCCAGCCTCCCCGTCCAAGGCGCACCCAGCATCCACGAATCCCCGCTGCGCAGCCGGGAGCCTTGGCTCCTTAAGGGTCCTCGGAGAAAATCAAATGGAGGCAGGCTGGGGTGGAAGGCTCTGTCCTTAGCTTTTGCTGAAGGAGTCTCTGGTTCCGCTGAATTTTTGGATTGCGGCTGTTGCTCTGGGAAAATGTCTGGGTGAACAGTCTAAAGAGGAAATGAAGTAGAAACCTGAAATTTCTCCAAGCGCAGCATAGGTTCCAGAGAAGTTCTTTTCTGGAATAATTACCTTAGGAGTCCTTAATACATTTTGTTGACTGAGTGACTCTTCCCAGGGGGAGAGTGTATCTGTTGGTTGGCTGGATTCTTATCAGAGTCAGCTCTGCCCTCCTCCTGGCTGTGTATGAGAGTTTTTGTTTCCTTTGTAAACTCCCTTTCCTGAGGAACAATGAGGCTCACTTGCTAGGGCATGCCTCTGTCTCTAGATGTGTTTGTGTGGGGCTGAGCGAGTAGTCGGTTGGTTTGTGGGTTAGTCAACCTGCGGCAGCACCTGTATGTTTATCCGTCTGATTCTTGAGTGTCTGTGCGTGTCCTTGTGTGGGTAGTTGTGTCAGTATATGAGTCTCCCCCAACCCCCAAGGTTCTTGTTTTAGAAAGTGTAAAGTAAGTGAATGATTACAATCAGTATTGTAATCATTGTGTTGTAAAGGCAATTAATTTTGCTAAGTTTTTGAAGGGCAGATCTAGATTCCCTGCCCTTATACGGATTGACTGCTCATTTGTCCCTCATCACAAAAACAGAAACTCTTGGGGGAGATTGGACCAGAGGCTTATGTAGTTCTCTTTCTGTTTTACTAATAAGGGTCCCAGAGGGGAAATGACTTTTCCAGGTTGACAATAGAATTAGGGGTGGAACCTGGGAATGGAACCAAACTCTCTTGATTTGCTTTTTTTTTTTTTTTTTTTTTTTTTTTGCCATTCTTGGATCCAGCATCTCCGGTACCCTATGGCACAAGAACTGTTTGGGATACTGTTTCAGAATCTACTATCTTTCTTACCGTTAAACTTTTACTTTCCCAATAGCTTCTTCATTTACATCCCCCCCCCCTTTTTTTTTGAGACGGAGTTTCGCTCTTGTTACCCAGGCTGGAGTGCAATGCCACTATCTCTGCTCACCACAACCTCCACCTCCTGGGTTCAAGCGAGTCTCCTGTCTCAGCCTCCTGAGTAGCTGGGATTACAGGCACGCGCCACCACGCCCAGCTAATTTTGTATTCAGTAGAGACAGGGTTTCTCCATGTTGGTCAGGCTGGTCTCCAACTCCCGACCTCAGGTGATTTGCCAAACTTGGCCTCCCAAAGTGCTGGGATTATAGGTGTGAGCCACCATGCCTGGCCATGTCTCCCTTTTATTCTGCTCTTCCATTTTCCTTTTCTTCTATTTCCCTTTTTTCCCTACCCCTTGCCTATTTTACTTCTGCCTGTATTTTAGAACTGCTAGTGATACCCATAGTCATTTTTGGTTCAGTGGTTCTGTTACTAAAGAACTCGTTAGTACTGTGGTTCTGTACTAGAGATTTTTCCAACCTTTGTACTGTGCCAGTATTTTCCCCCTAAGCCCAGAAGTTTCTTCTGGGTGAGTGACTGTAACAGTTTTTGTCTGTGACAGTTATTTGTCAGTCTTAAAAGCTTCCTGGAGCTGCTTCCTCCCTATCCTTTGCCACTGCTTCCTTTTTTTCCCTCTCCCTCGAATTTCCTATATTATTTATGATAATCCTGAAATAATCACATACTGGCACTGGAAGTTTATGATAGCACCATTTTGAGCTTGGAGGTGCCTTCAGGGAACCAAGCCACAGTAGTGCAGAGGGAACGAACCTGAGATGATGTCATATTAGCCTGTTAGGACAGTGGGTCCTGGGAAGCGGCATATCCAGGGGATGGAGGAACTGATCTTGTAACTTTTAAATCAGGCTAGATGTGGGTTGGGGTTGGTGGAGGGGAGTGATCTGGTTAGTGCAAATGAGGATGGAAATGAGAGCCACCACACCTGTGTTCTAGCTTGGTTTCTTAGGCAGTCGCTTAGTCTTTTCATCTATAAAATAGGAGTAATAATACTTGTTCCGCCGGGCACACTTTGGGAGGCCGAGGCGGGTGGATCACAAGGTCAAGAGATCAAGACTATCCTCGTCAACATGGTGAAACCCCGTCTCTACTAAAAATACAAAAATTAGCTGGGCATGGTGGTGCACGTCTGTAGTCCCAGCTACTCGGGAAGCTGAGGCAGGAGAATTGCTTGAATCCAGGAGGCGGAGGTTGCGGTGAGCCGAGATCGCGCCATTGCACTCCAGCCTGGGTAACAAGAGCAAAACTCCGTCTCAAAAAATAAAAATAAAAAAAATACTTGTTCCACCCTCATGACAAATACTTGTCATGAGGATCAACCAGCATAATAATGACATGATATATACATGAAGGGGTTATTGTTGGGCAGCTATTAGCTCCTTTGGATTTTGTGATGATGGAAGAATGCCAGAGTGCTGTCCCTGGCAGAGTAGGTCAGAAAGGAAGCAGGGAAATCCCAAATGGTCAGAGTCAAAAATCATAAAGCAGAAGCTTTTTCTTGGGTGTCTAGTTTGTCTTCTGCCCCCTGAGAGGCATGTATCGGTTGCCCACATGTACTCCCTATTCCTCCAGGGCTGCTCCTCACTGTGGGCTCTGCTGTCAGGGAGGAAGTAGAAAAGGCTCACAGGACTGAAGAGTCAGGCAAAGGCCCAGCCCCAACTCTGGAACCTAATGGAGGGGAAACCCTGACCCTGCGGGGCAGGGATCCGCAGGGTAGAGAGTAGAAGAGCTGGACTTGGGAGAAGTGAAACTGATGACCCAGAGTGCTAGCCTCCCTTTCCCTAGAAAACCTGTCCCTTAGAAAAGGTTCAGCTGTCTACCAGGCAGGGAGAGACACGGTGGAGGTGAGTGTGGATAGGTCAGCTTTTGGTAACCACAGGGGAGAGAGGGAAACCTGGGTTGGAATGCTGGCTTTTGCTCCCCTGCCCTTACTCGAGTGTGGTATCACTACTGAGGAGTTCCGGGTGGGCAGGGCGTGCTGCCCTGTGTCTGGGTCATTCTCTGAGTCCTGGTGTTTTCTACTGATGTTTCTGACTCAAGCCCTTTCTAGCTTTGCTCTTCAGGGGCAGACATACCTCAAAACAGTAGACTGGTGAGTCACTCCTCCTTTCCTCTCCCTCTACTCTCAGGAATAAATTATTACCTCCAAACTAGAAACTGGTGACTGGCACTTCCTAGTTCTAGTTCCGGGTGGCATTTCTCTTCAAACTAGAAGCTGGTGACTGGCGTTTTCCTAGTTCTACCCTGAGCTAGGAAGTGAGTGGCAGTGGAATTCTAGTGCCCTTTAGTCTTTGCCTTCTGGCTCCAGACCACTTTTTTTTTTTTTTTTTAAGACAGAATCTCATTCTGTTACCCAGGCTGGAGTATAGTAGCATGGTCTTGGCTCACTGCAACCTCTGATTCCTGGGTTGAAGCGATTCTCCTGCCTTAGTCTTCCCAGCAGCTGGGACTACAGGCATGCACCACCACACCTGGCTAATTTTTTTTGTATTTTTAATAGAGACGGGGTTTCACTATGTTGGCCAAGCTGGTCTCAAACTCCTTACTTCAAGTGATCCTCTCACCTAGGCCTTTCAAAGTGCTGGGATTACAGATGTGAACCACTGCATACGGCCACTCCAGACCACTTGTACCCCAATATGTTGCTTTTCAGTTCCTTTGTGATCAGGGCTTGTAGAGTCTCTAGCAGGTTTGATTCTAGGTAGCTACTGTGATTTTTTTTTTTTGAGATGGAGTCTCGCTGTTGTTGCCCAGACTGGAGTGCAATGGCACAATCTCGGCCTACTGCAATCTCCGCCTCCTGGGTTCAAGCAATTCTCCTGCCTCAGCCTCCCAAGTAGCTGGGACTACAGGCGCGTACCACCATGCCCAGCTCATTTTTGTATTTTTAGTAGAGATGGGGTTTCACCTGGTTGACCAGGATGGTCTCGATCTCTTGACCTCGTGATTTACCCGCCTCGGCCTCCCAAAGTGCTGGGATTTAAGGCGTGAGCCACAGCGCCCAGCCGCTACTGATTTTTTAAGAAAATATTTATTGCCGGGCGCGGTGGCTCATGCCTATAATCCCAGCACTTTGGGAGGCCGAGGCTGGTGGATCACGAGGTCAAGAGATCGAGACCATCCTGGTCAACAAGGTGAAACCCCGTCTCTACTAAAAATATAAAAAAATGAGCTGGGCATGGTGGCGCATGCCTGTAATCCCAGCTACTCAGGAGGCTGAGGCAGGAGAATTGCCTGAACCCGGGAGGCGGAGGTTGTGGTGAGCCGAGATCGCGCCATTGCACTCCAGACTGGGTAATAAGAGCGAAACTCCGTCTCAAAAAAGAAAAAGAAAAAAAAGAAAAAGAAAATATTTATTTAGAAGGGCCAGGTGGGGTGGCTCACCTGTAATCCCAGCACTTTGGGAGGCCGAGGTGGGCATGTCACCTGAGATCAGGAGTTCAAGACCAGCCTGACCAGCATGGAAAAACTCCGTCTCTAATAAAAATACAAAAAATTAGCCAGGCATCGTGGTG